TGTCTAAAGTGCTGAAGAAATAAATAAAGACACCAAATCCACTTTGTTGCTGTGTAGAATTACTTATTAAATTAACTTTCAATAAAGAAACGTAAAACTTTAAGCGAATTTGCGAAAAAAATTATTTCCGCTCGACCTTCTGCGTGAGGGTAAAAATCCACCCACTCATGAATATTAATGCAGGGGGTGCGGCATGTGGAGTGACGTCACGCGCGTTACACACAGACATAAATTCTTGGCTCATTATAGTAGAAATGCAAGTAATGTGTATCAAGTCAGTCTCTGGTTCGAACAAGCTTTTGTGTGAGACGTTCATCTCCCACTGGTAGTGTCGAGTGAGTGGTGGAAATTCTGCATTCGTGTGAAGGGGCTCCGTCCATTCTGTTGACTTTCCTTTCCCGAGATACAGCTTAGATGTGAACAGGGAGCAGTGCTCCCCATCGTGAGCTCAAATCCAGGCCACGCTTGATGCCTTGCCATGCATTAGAATATTTACGAGGTCGATAAAATGAGTACCACCTGATGATGTTTCATACACACAACGATACCCTGTTAAGTCTTACAGCTCGTGTCGGCATTTGATGTTAGCGAGCACCTTATAAGGCAGGACGCCGCACGTCGAGGTGGTATGATGAGTAGCAAGGCCCACGCCTTTGGGGCCGTCCATAAATGACGTCACGCGATTTTGGACGATTTTTGACCGCCTCCCCCCTCGTCACACGGCGTCACAAAAAGTCAGACCCCCCCTCAAGTATGACGTCCCAAAGCTCTGCCCCCCCCCCCCCCCCGCGCTGCACTCTGATGTTGTAGGAGTGTTGTTGTCACAATTAGTGTTGTTATAACAATTCTATATTTATTTAAAATTGCGCATTTTGGTGTGACGTCACATTTCTCACCCCCCCCTTCTCTCGTCACACATCGTCACAAATGTCTGACCCCCCCTAGGTGCGTGACGTCATTTATGGACGGCCCCTTGACCGCATTGTCTCCCACAGTGCTGATTTTCTCGATACTCATTTTAGGCTGAGTTGAACTGCGAGAGACCCGGACCAAATTCGGATATACAGCGCCACGAAGGGGCATCATGGGGAGGATGTCACCAGGATCTGGTTGACTGAGCAGTGTTTAAATGTGCATGTGAATAGTTACACTATTAGTAGCTGTTGAGTATCAGACGGAACGTGCAACAATAAAACTCACGAAATTAACGAATTCATATTAAAAGGTAAATGTATATGCAATGGTGCTGGCACGTTGAATTGCATTTGGGACGTCAACAAATAATTCGCTTCGAAGCGTTCACGTTCATCTCGCTGGTAAATCGTGCACAGTAACCACCACACAAAGACAAAGACGCCCCGTATAGCCTTTACATACTGTTGGGGCAAGTGCTGTTAGCGAGCACCTATGAAGGCCGGAACGGCACACGAGGGGGTGGGTGGGTGGGCCACCACCACGCCAGACCGCCTTCGTCTCCCCACAGCGGCGATGTTAACACACCGCACCGGGTATTCATTTGAGGCCGAGTCGACCTAGGCGAGGCCCAGACCCAGCTCACATAACCTTCACTTGGTGTTGGCCGTTAGTGGGAATCGAACCCGGGTGGCCAGGTCCGTAGCGCGACGCGCTAACCGCGTCACAACGCCGCTCCCCACCCACACGCGCACGCGGGTCTCTCTGCTCCGGAGGAAAATAACTCAAACGCACACGCGAGGGCGTCATCCCGTTGTGCACTTTTTATTCCCGCTGCAACAGAAAGATCGACAGCCATATGCTGTTGCCGTGTAGAGCTGCACACGGTACACCTTTACGCCAGGCCTTCCTAAACCCCGGTCCTCGCAATCCACCACCACGCTCCCTGCGGCTTTCCGCGTTCACCAATTGACTCACCATTCAAATTTTGATTTAAAGCTTTCGTGACTGCAGGGATCCATCTTCTTGGTTCTTTCGGTAAAGTCCTGCATAATGCACGGGCATAATATGACTTTGAAACCCCCCGCCCACCTCCTACGCATTCCACAAGTAATGACAAATCCCATATCTGCATTTGCCATAAATATGTTAAATTCCTATTGATATGCAAATTCCTTTGTCAAGGCGCTCTTCCCCCTCTAACCCAGCTTAAATATACGCTGCCAAGCCTGGTGGTGTTCATTCAGACGCTGTCTTTCCGACAGACCTGTTCTTCACCTGAGGACGGCTGCTTGCGTTATGGCCGAAACGTCGTGAGAATTATTTTATTATGTTTTATTTTTATTATTTTATTATCACCATTCAAACGCAATTTAACTCGTTCCCACGCTGCACGCGCCCGATGATTGCTAAACAGGCGCCCCACGTGACGCGTTGAGCAATTGAGGCTGTCTGCGTCAAATGTAACACGCGTACACATACGCGATGAACACTTACACACGCACTCACACAGGTGTATGTACCGTATGTTGAACCTCTTTCGCACCGTACGCATCCAAGCGTGACAATCGCTGGTGCAAGGATAAAGAAATTGGTTTTCGATTTAAAAGAGTTTTAAAATATATAAATCTTAATTTGAATCGGCTTTCTATGAACGCAGACATATTCGGGCGCGTACAGCGTGGAATTAGTTAATTTGCAATTGAATGGGGAGTCAATTGGTAAAACGCGGAAAGCCATAAGCGTGGTGGGGAGGATCGCGAGGTACGGAGTTTGGGGAACCATACCTTAGTGTGGGACAATTCCATGTTACTCTGGCGGGGTTCAGTACATTTATCATTGACCTCTCACCGATTGTTGCAAGCCTGGCCAGGCGGTGGCGCATTCACGAGCGCACCGCGCTATGAACAAGGCCCTGCCAAAGTTATATGCCTTACCAGGGACAGCAACAACAACAAGAACAGCGATAAGAATAGGCTTTATCCTTTCTGGCAATAAAAACAGTTGTGTTAAGATGTTAAAACGCCAAACTGAAACATTTTGCGAGGAATCGTATACTGCATTAACAACATATATTTGAAGTGAGCATGCAAACAAAAAAAACATGCTTTGGTAGTATTTTTATGCATTGTCTTTGAAACTGATTGGTCCACACCAGAGACAGCTTTCTCTAGAGCCTCGTCTCAAACGGTGTTGGACCAGAGAACGCCAAAAGGCGAACAGCACAAACAAAATGCCACTGTCAGGGACATTGAGAGCTCGGGGTGAACAGCTACATAATGGGACCTCCCTTGCCAGTATCAAAGTATATCAATAGTTTTTTTTCATTTCAGACGCTGTCTTTCCGACAGACCTGTTCTTCACCTGAGGACGGCTGCTTGCGTTGTGGCCGAAACGTCGTGAGAATTGTATTTTATTATGTTTTATTTTTATTATTTTATTCTTTCCCTTCTACGTGAATTTACCGAAAGAACCAAGAAGATATAACAATAGGTTTTACCCGATCTGGCAATAATAAAACAGTTGTGTAAAGGTGTTAAAACACCAAAACTGAAACCTTTTGCGAGGAATCGTGTCTGCACTAACCACACGTACTTGTGGTGAACATGCCAGCTAAAAAAAGCGATGTCTGAAGTTCTGAGCCTGCCGCCTTCCCCTCCCCGTCTCACTTCACCAAACCGCACTGGCCAGAGTGGTGAAGTATGGTCAAACTCTCACGATCGGCGTGGGGAGCCCTTTTCATCCAGCGGCGTAATGACAAAGGGCTGCACGTAATTCAACTTAGAGTGTTCATTATAAATACAGTATATAAGTGGAAAAACATATCTGAGGCTTGTGTTATTAATTTGTCGTTGTGTGTAGCGGGGGGCAGTGCTGCAATATCCGGCTGGACCCCTACATGGTGGTCCAAATGTATTGTGACCCCCCCCCACAATTAATTGACCCCTAAAAATGTTTCACCCTTTGCATATTCATGTGTTTTAAATAAACCTTTAATTTTTTTGTATCAAGTTTTACAGAATTAAATGGAGGGGGGGGGGGCACAAGACATCTGGACCACCATGTACCTCGAGGGATTAATTTTATCGGGAGCTGTCCGGGGCTAAGCTTCGGAAAATATTTAGCCGCCCGTCCCCCCTCCCTCTTCCCCATGTCAGGCTGGGCCGGGTGCGAATTAAACATCTCACGAGAAATTAAATTAAGAGCTGCCAATACCCCCCCCCCCCTCCCAGGCGTCTTCAGCAACCCGCAGTCACCAGCGTGGTGAAGTATGGCCTAAGTAACCAACCACGACCCCCCCCCCCCCCACCACATCAGGGAAGAGACCCTTTATCCAGCAGTTGACAAATGAGCTGCATGTTGTACGATGCATTGCAATGTTTTTGTTGTTGTTTGTTCAATGTCACAACAAACATCACAGTTGCAGACTAAAACCGAAAAATATATTTCACGCCACGCACAACCTTTGCCTTCGTGCGGCTGTGGTGACGACTGGTGACAGCCCACCTCGCAACAGCGAGCCGGCGGCCTTCATAGGTGCTCGCGAACAGCACTTGCCCCAAACAGTCTGTTCACACAGGCTGTTACGTGGGGCGGGGGGGGGGGTGTCTTTGTCTTTGGTGGTGGCTGGGTGGTGGTGGTAGCAAGCTGGTTGTTGTTGGTGCTGGTGGTAGCAATTTGGGTGGTGGTGGTGGTGGTGCTGGTTAGCAAGCTGGTTGTTGTTGGTGCCGGTTGTTGTTGGTGGTGGTGGTTGTAGCAAGCTGGTTGTTGTTGGTGCTGGTTGTTGTTGGTGGTGGTGGTTGAAGCAAGCTGGTTGTTGTTGGTGCTGGTTGTTGTTGGTGCTGGTTGTTGTTGGTGCTGGTGGTAGCAAGCTGATTGTTGTTGTTGGTGGTTGTAGCAAGCTGGGTGGTGGTGGCAGGGAGATGGAGTGATGAGGAAGAGTGGTCACGTGCCTCGTCTCGCCCTCTCGTCTCCTCCCTCTCAATGGGAGCTCAGCACCACCCCCATCCTCCTCCTCCTCTGCACTCCCAGCAGTGGCTGGAAGAGAGAGAGAGTGTAAGGGGGAGGGGTGGTGGTGCAGAGCTCCCTTCGATTCATCATTGTTAATTCCTAAGCACTTCCCCCCCCCCATCTCCTCCCTCCCTCCCCCAAAAAATTAAATCATATATCCGTCTATACATTCAACGACACTTACACTACAATACAACATCCAGATGTCTATACAAGGAGCAACACAATAGGGTGACGACGACGACGACGACGAAGACATTGGTAACGGAATTCGGAAACTTAGCGAGCGAGCGAAGCACAAAGGGAAGACCAGGAAAAACAACAGCAGCAGCAGTAGTAGCAGCAAGCAAACGTGGGGAAACGGAAAAGACCGCAGAGTTTTGCAGCATGCCGCGCGCCTAGAATGTGATCTGCAGCTGCGGCCGCAGTGCGCTGGGCTCTAGCGGGCGGCCCTCTGCAGAGCTCCGTCGTGGCAAGATGAGCACTACGGGGACAATGAGGATGATGATGAAGGTGGTGGCCGTGGTGGTGATGGTGATGATGATGACGGCCGCAGTGGTGAGCGCTGCCCGAGCTGAAACTCCGACGGCGGGACCGACGGGCCGAGGCGGGAGCCAGTGTCAGGGAGCTTTCGATCTCTACCTCGTCTTGGACAAGTAAGGATTGATGGTGGTGGGGTGGGGGGAGCGGTGGCGCTTGTGGTGAGCGCGCTGCGTTACGAATCCGACGAGCAGAGTTCGTTCCCGCACACGGCCATCGTTATCTGAACCGATCGCGCTCGACTCTGCTTTAAATGAGTCGGTGCGGTGTGTAAACTTCAGAACTGGGGAGACAAAGGCGGCCGGGCGTGGTTCTGGTCACACCACCCCCAGTCGCTAACAGCACTTGCCCCCAGCAGTCTGTTAGCTATACGGGGGATCTTTGTCTGTTGATGGTGGTGATTCGCAGGGTGACTGCCCTCTTATTCATCTTGCTGCTTCTCTTCTTTGTTGTTGGCAATACGCAGGGCATATTCACCGGGTGGTTAAAACCAAATTAAACTAATGTCATGTTACCAGGTAAGGCCCATTGAGCTATAGACTGTAGATTTTTTGTTTCATAAGCGACCTTGCCACAAATGATAGCTCAACAAATTGGCTTGTTACGTGGACATTTAGAGCAGCCCAAAAATATTCTTAAACGCGTGTTGAGTCTCAACCTGGAGGCAAAAACCAGAGGGCCCCGAGAAAAACAAACCACGTGTCAGGATCTGGATCGAACCCACAACCTCCTGTGTCCCAAGCGAGGCAGCTCACTTCTCGCCAGCGTTAACGGGACGCTGTAGAATGTGTAGATGTTGTGCTGGGTTGTTCAGTGAGGCTTGACGATACTAAGTCAAGGTAGTGGTGGAGTTTCCACATTCCTACGCCTGGGATCAAGTTAATGTCGTATTGCTATAAACTACATTATTACATCATGGGATCTCCTTTGCCAGTACAAAAATATGATCATAAGTACGCCTTTTGGCGTCCTCTGGTCTAACACCGTTTGAGACGAGGCTCAAAAGAAAGCTGTCTCTGGTGTGGACCAATCAGTTTCAAGGACAATGCATATATTATCAGAGTTGTGGTTTTTTGGGGATTCTGACCACAAGCATTGTGGTTAATGCAGAAATGATTTCTTGTAAAAGGTTTCAGTTTGGTGTTTAATCATCTTAACACCTGTTTTGTGGCCAGAATCAAGGGGGAAAACTCATTCTCATACGTTATTACAATTATAGTTATTGTCGCAGTGGTGGTTATTATTAATGTAGTTGCGTATTACGAGATTTTTTCTTTTTTAATGTACGTTTCAATTGCAACCATATATGTGACATCATCCGTCAGATCTGGGAAGCTAAGCAGGTCTGAGCCTGGATAGGCAACCAGCTCGGCTGCTCATAGGCTGCTGCGTTGTTTGTGGTGGACGGGGAACAGCAGTGCAACAAAGTCCATTGTTGTACAGTACTCTGTTTATGAGCTCCCGTGTCTATGCTCCCCTTCCTTCACCAACATGCACTAACCAGTGTGGTGCAGTGTGGTCAATTACCCCCCACGACCCCCACGTGGTTGTGTACTCGCAAATGTTTGTCCCAGTTTTGTGTTGGCTGCCTCGGCCAAGTCTTTGGGTGCTTGTGTCTTGGACATGCAAGCCGTCATCCAGCAGTGGATTTTCGATTTGCTACTTGCACAATGCACGGATGCTTTTGTTTCTAATAAAAAAAACGGTTCCTGTACAAGAACTGTTGCAAATATTTGAATACAGTGCTTCAGTTTAGCTTACAATCAAATCGCCACAAATACACTCGGGCTTGTTGAAGCTGAGAAGCTAAGCTGGTGACGCCTGCTAAGTAATGTACTTGCCATGGGTGACACACCAATGCTTGCCAGGTGTTGTATCGGCATGGGACTGCAAGGTAACGTCAGGAGGTGCTGTGTTGAATGTAACCCCTGTCTGGTGAAGCCAAAGTCGCATGAATGGATTTGGCCAAACATCAAAATGCTGGCAGGACCCTGCTGAAAACATTTAAATGTGATCACTAAATGATTTATCAAGTACAGTACTCCATTGGAACCTCATTTGCCAGTAAAAAATATGATAATTGGTTTTTTACCCTTCTATCTGGCAACAAAACTGACACCTTTTTTTACAAAGAGTCATGTTTGCATAGACCACAATACCTGCAGTCATAATGCAAACAAAAACACAACTATGATAATGAGCACTGTCCTTGAAGTTTATTGGTCCACACCCGAGACAGCTTTCCTTAGAGCCTAGTCTCACATGGGTGCAGGTATTGTGGTCTGTGCAAACATGACTCCTTATAAAAAAAAATGAGTCAGTTTTGTTGCCAGATAGAAGGGTAAAAAACAATCATCAAGTACAGTACTGTTGTATTTTCTTTTTTTGTTATAATTTTTATTTTTTATTCCCACTTTTTATTATTATATCTACGTGACTTTACCGAAAGAACCAAATAATACAATACTTCTGTATAGCACAATAATAGAATGGTATACTATGTTCTATCTTCAGATAAATGCAACGTTACATTTCCTATGTAACTTATACTCAGTAACTTAATACCCAAGTGTTTCTGTTGATTATCAGATATTGCCAGACTGATTCGTAATAAGGCACAAGTAAAATGTGGTTTGGCAAGTACTGACCCTGCCTGTGCAAAATGGCACAGCGCTTGCTCAGATGTTTTCGGTGATGTAATTCAACAAAACCGAAATGTAATCGTCAAAGTTGGAATCGTTTGACGACTTGTGGCGAGGCTGCATGGTTTTCATTTCGGCAGCGATGGCACTTTTAGAGCCATGAGACACTCTAAACGTAATCCATGAAAGATTGAATCGTAACGCTTTCCTTAATCGTTCAAACCCATTTCTCCGCTGGCAGTTTATCTCAATTTAAGAGGACATCCCATTGATTCAAGAAGTCTGAAGATATTTCTTTCTCTTGTAGACTCTTTCCTCCCGTTGCAGTTTCGGTCATTGATGGAATTAATACAGGATGGAGCTTTTGGTGACCTTGTCATGCAAATTAATACGAAAAATATAAAGTTAATAATTTTAAAATGCTTTTTCCTTACTGATCATTGCCATGCCCAGTTGTATTTTTAAATGATAATTTCCCTCTCAACTGTCACTCCAGAATCATTCTTTATTTATTTAAATTGAATGCACATATTAATCTTATTCTGCAGTCCCATTATTCACCTTGGATTTCTTTTCAGTCATAAAACATTTTCAGTCGATAAATATAATTGTAAATTAATTAAAGCAATTTTTGTTTACATTCTTACATTCTTCATTGTTACATTTTTCAAAATGAAATACCGTAATCTTCACATGGTTACTTTCTTCGTATTAAGTATCTTCTTTTAGAAACATTTTTGCATAACGTAAATAATTTCTTAAGCATAGCTTTCCGAAGGTGTGATGCAGTACAATCTGAAAAACACATTTGAGACCAACGCAGCAACACAACTGTTACAATGTACGTATGTTGAACTTCTTTCGCACCGTACGTAGCCAACCTTGCTCATTGGAGGTGCGGGGGAAGGACAACAAACGAAACACAAAAAGCAGTTAAAACCTACGCAGTGAACGTTTAAACATCATTCAGTGAATCTCATTCCTAGCAGTTTGAATTACATGGATATTTGAAGGTCAAATTATTATATGCTGTAATGAAGCTTAAAGTACATTCAGAGGTTGTGGCACTGCACCACCGATGAACGCATAAGGAAAAACATTCAAAGGATTTGAGGCAGGTAGCCAAATATGCCTTCGGATATTTAATACTGTATTTATTTTTTGCATCGAATTAAATATATTAATTAAAAAATGACCCACTTTACAAAGCAACTTCACACAACTGTGAAAATTACACATCCGGCCCCTTTGTATATGCATTAGAGTACAATGTCACATTTTAACACGTAGGCTTTCGCGACCAATATTAAAGGTTTTTGGGTTAGATCGCGTAAGTATAAATATGTCGAAACCCTCCACCACCCGACACAGCCAATCAGTAAAGGATTTGTCACGTGGGCTGAAGTAGTAACTATTTACTGATTGGCCGTGTCGGGTGGTGGAGGGTTATGACACATTTATACTTACGCATTCTAACCCAAAAACCCCTGTATTATGGATGACGTAGCCAAGCGTAATATTTCAACTGTTGGGCTTGCTGGAATCTGTGCCGATGAACTGCCAATCGTACGGGCAAGGACCGACTCCTTTACGATAAGTGGGTTCTAGATCAATGAAGATGTATTTAATTCACAACGACAACAACAACAAAATAATAATTAGCGACGCAAATTATTATTTTGAGTTGTGCAAAAATGGGTCCGGGCAAGCAATGTGAACCGTCGGATATGTGAAATGTGGCGTGACTGTCATTAGCTGAAATGATAACTGCACATTAGATTTTACGTGCGTTTACAGACTTAATAACGATATGTGTTGACGTGTGTGTGTGTGTTTCACTGCAAGGTCTGGGAGCATTCAACACCACTGGGGTGAAATCTACCACTTTGTGGAAAAATTGGCAGAGAAATTTGTAAGGTATGTATCTTTTTTTTACTGTTGTTGTGAAATATTGTGTTGGCTGGTACTTCTGCGGTATTCTGGCTCACACACAGGACTTGCAATTCCGAGTTCAGTTCTATTTCCCAGCATGGCAGCTGAAAGTTGAAGCAATGGTCAAGTTTCTTGAGTTGTCCTCACCGCAGTTAATCAGCAGGGTTTATATGGTGGGGTAAAGTGTGGCTACTCTCACCTCTTTCAAGACTTCTGATCAGTGTGGACGAGTGGACCAAAATACTCTGGGTGGGTCCCTCTAGAGCTCTCTAGCGGGAATAACCTTTTGCCGGTAGTGGAGTAAGCAGGCGATTGCAGGGCTGCACCATTCAACTTTTTTAAACTTCAAAATCCAAAGTCAAACGGTGTATTAATTCTAGATTTGAAGCTTTCGTGACTGCAAGGATTCATATTCTTAGGTTTTTTCGGTACGTGACTTTACCGAAAAAACCTAAGAATATCAAACGGTGTACCCTGCTCAAGTGACCAATGGGGTATTACTCATTTGCACTGCCTTCACTTTACATGTCATGGAAGTGGCAGGGCTCGTAACATCCACACGATGACCGCTTGATTAATATTGAGTGGAATGACTGAGGTGACTGCCTTCCGGGATTAGAACTCGTCACCATCCAGTTGTGAGTAAAGCACTTGAAATCGGTGTCACCTGACCAGATTTGACTGTTTCTGAAGAAGCTTCCAGCACATGAAGTGAAACGTCCGACATCGTGCCGAACAACACTCGATACAACGCCAAAACACCTCAGAAAGCTTCGTTGCTCGCACGAAGTGAACCTTCAGTCCAGTTCACCAAAATGTTTAGGCCCTTTTAACTCGCACACTGTCTCACCACTAGGTAAATACAAATAAAGAAGATTTATACTCTTTGGTTCTTTCGGTAAAGTCACGCTTGTGTTGCGCCCGAAACATCCTGATTTATCATTTTTTATATTTCTACCTACGTGACTTTACCGAAAGAATCAAGAGTATGGATTCCTGCAGTCACGAAAGCTCCAAATCAAGATTAAAGAATATTTTTTACATTGGATTGTTATCTTGGAAATTTTACTTCGTATCTCGAATGCCACAAAAAGTGTGGGTTTTTAGAAAGTCTATTATGGTTTTACTATCATGGCCTAGTATTCTGAAAAAAAAAACATGGGTGGGGCACTGATGAAATGCAGATTTGTTCCAAGATTTCGGCATGCTGATGTCTTTGTGGGTATCATGTTTCCTTTGAAATGGAATACAATCATGCACTTGCCATCACATGTCATATAAACACACTCAGGAAACTGTCTACCGATTTAAATTGTTCACCAAGTGAAACGTGGGATGTGGGAGCTTAATTTTCTCGTAACGTTTCAAACATTCACAGCTGTGAAAGGAGGCAGGCAAACATCACTGTGAATCCATTCGAGGGGTCGTATAACAAGTGTTTTTATTGATGCGCACAGTGCAACAATCGCACATCAGTCTCACCGAGGATCGAGGTAAAAGCAAAAATGTGTTGCAAGGGGCAGATACGTGAACATCTACAAAAAAATTACAGTTACACAGCCGTGCAGAATCACTGCACGGGGTGTGGGCGGCAAATTGGTCAGAGTGGATATGCGACGGTCGGATATGCGACGTACAGATTTTTAAGTCCTCTGTTTGTAACCGTGCTCTGTAGATAAGAAAAGGATCTTTCTTGAACTTTGTACAGTACGCGGCAAACGTGAGAGAAATGTGCGAGCGTGTTTGGACAGAAACAACACAGCTCTCGAATGTACTCCGGATTTTTTGAATTCTTTGTCTTCATAGCGCCGCCGTGACTGGGATCAAGGTGAAAGCTTTAGCCGCTGGCTGAGACAGCTCTTTCAATCATTATTGTTTTTTCTTAAGTTTTTTAATGCTCTTGGCGTTTGTGAAAAAGCAATATTATTTTATATTGACCACACTGACCAGCCTGGTACTATCCATCTAGACAATCTCTATCATTGTTCAATTATGAACAAGTTCATCTAGATTCTTATTGATATTGATTCAACCCCATCACCCATCCTGGGTTGAAAAAAACTCAATGACCACATTGTGTGAGAAGTCAACAATGGTTGTCCTAAGGGCAGACTCATTTCCTACATAGGAATGTGGAATTTCCACCAGTGGCTCATAGCTGAAACAGGGAGACACTGACTGCGAGTTAAGTTGTTTGCATGATACTGAACTTTGTATCACTTATCTTGCTTCTCAAGATTGCTGCGCTGTAGGCATAGACTTGCAGACTAATGATGCGTATGCCGAAATGGCGTCAACAATAGTATAACACTTTAGGAATCCCAGGATGCTTTGCTTACCAAGATGACACCCAAAGTCTTGGGCCCTTTCTGCCACACAGCGTTATGACGGCCAACAGCTCACAAGAGCCGAGAGTGGCAGCAATCAGTCCTTTGGGTTTGTTTCTCCATTTGCTCTGGCTCATTTGTATCGTTTTGAGCACTAGTATTACCATAAATATTGCTTCATACTTATTTGCATGAATTTCTTTGTATGTTTTCACACTCACTTCAATACGTGGCACGTAATATTAAGTGGTGACATCTATGTCGTCCGTTCGTGCTGCGAGAAATTTGCATCTATTGCTGAAAATTACTTTTAAATCAGCTACCTGCTGAGTTAGATTGTTGATGTAAACCATCCTGAATTTGCCTGCAAATAGGGTCGCCATCCCTATGGCCAGCCGAATATGTACAAGAATGGTCATGGCATCTTGATATTTAATCCCCCTCGGTGTACCACGACCACAACCCCCAGTCTCTACAGCTCTAGATCTCACAACTTGGGATGGTGACGGAGCAGCGGGTGCTAACAATCGCTGGGCTTGAACAGGATTCGTCATGGATCTGTCCATCGCTATGTACAAGTGCATAGACTCTGGTGAATTGGCAGCAGGGACACGTCACTAAGAAGGGATAAGAATAATAATAATGGAGTGGCAGCCAAAGAATGGAACACACCGTCGCTGTACGTCCTCTGACAAATATGGAGCGGTCACATTGCTTGATGTGCAGGATGATTACGTTGCAAGATTGCGATAGGTGGCAGCAGCCGCGGTGGCCGCTATGGGAAGGGGAGGCCTTCATCCAGCAGTGGATTCGCCACGGCTGACGATGATGAGCCAGATGTGTTTATTGGTAACGAATGCAAATGATGAACGGTGCTCGCGTTTGGTGAGCACAGGCCTTGGCAGGGATGGACGTAAATTCATGGCAGCAGCTGAGAATTTCCACAATGTAGTGCTGTGGAAAGTATTCCACAGCAGATATCCAAAATTAAAATAACGCAAGTAAATTTTATATTTTTAACTCCGCACACCTTGGCTTTGTTGTTGACTAATGAGGCCGCGTGCAAATGAAATTTCTCCGCAATGGCTTTGGGTAGGAAACGAGCGGCGTTCCTGCACTCTGCGTAAACATTTACGCCCGCAGATCCATTGCAAGAGGCGGTGCACTTTGGGATATTAAAACTGGTGGATGATAAATTGAGGGCATGAATAGGGGCAGCACGCCATTGTCGGAAATCACTCGAAGCCGGGCGATCAGGAGGGGCCCATATTTTTATTGTCATCGTCCGAAACCGTAGCATTGCCAAGTCTATTGTGTTACAAAAAAAAATCTCGCTTAAAATAAACCAGGACATGTACACGCGGTGAACGTGGCACATAAATGAGATTTATTGTTTTAGGGAGTGTATTGTATTATTTAATGACCTACTTCTGTATGTGTTGGCTCTGAAACGCACACACTCCCACACATACACCATCAAAAGATACAATCTGGTCGTGAACGCCTACAGTATTGAGGCATGCTAAGAGGGCGATGTTACTGGTATAGCCAGCAGCACACCTGGCCACCTTTGTATTCCCAGTGCTCATGTTCATACCCCAATGTGAGAGAGACATTTAAGGCCGAGTCTATCTAGTGGAGGCACAGGACGGGTATTGACATCACTGGTCACTGATGTTATTTGTGGTCTGGAATCAATCTGAGGTCATTGGATTCATCGACCACTGCATTACACTGACCCTTGCAGCTGGTTCGGTGGACTTGTGATGTTCATACCCCAATGTGAGAGAGACATTTAAGGCCGAGTCTATCTAGTGGAGGCACGGGCCGGGTATTAACATCACTGGTCACTGATGTTATTTGTGGCCTGGAATCAATCTGAGGTCATTGGGTTCATCGACCACTGCATTACACTGACCCTTGCAGCTGGTTCGGTGGACTTGTGATTTATTTCAGATTTAGAACATGCTGTAAGAGTTATTTGTAAAAACAAAAACACATGTAGTTATTTCACAAGCATGTCTTTATTGTGCCGATGTGCTTGCTTACTTATTCACCCATAAACATTCATGTGTACGATGAACTGCTTCGCAATGCATGTACTGTATATACATTATATGGGTGATGTGAAATTTAAATTCATTAACAAGGAGACACGTCTGAAAATGTATATTTTCTTGATATTTAAAACACATTTCTCTTCTTCTTGGTTCTTTCGGTAAAGTCATGTAGAAGGGAAATAATTAAATGAAAAAATAATAAAATACAATTCTCACGACGTTTCGGCCACAACGCAAGCAGCCGTCCTCAGGTGAAGAACAGGTCTGTCGGAACATTTCTCTTGCCATTCTCTGAGGGGGTTGTTGGACCATACTTCACCACGATGTGAGCCATGACAGGGAATCGCACTCGCCAGGTCTAAATAGCTCCATGCCCTGACCAGTGCACTCCCACTTGCCTCCTTTGGAGCCTAATCGTCCAATTAATTATTTGTACAGTATGGTTCCTGCATTGTCGTTTTTAAAGTGGTGAGTGGTGGCACAGTGGTTGGCGCAATGCTATAAAACTATTTAAACTAATTCTAGATTTGAAGCTTTCGTGACTGCAAGGATTCATATTCTTAGGATATTCGGTGAAGTCACGTAGGTAAAAAAATTAATTTAAATTAATAAAAGTAAAATAAAAAATAATAATAATTTTACTTTAATTAAATTAAATTTTAAATTTTTACCTATGTGACTTTACCGAAAACCTAAGAATATTTAAACTAAACCATGTATTTATTTACCAGGTAAGGCCCACTGGGCTATACAGCTCTTTTTTTTCAGAAGTGACCTGGCCACAAATAATAGCTCAATGAATGTGGCTTACGATGTGGAAATGTATAGCAGCCGAATAAATACTCTAAACACATTCTTCTAAATGTGGAGGGGAAAAACTGGAGGACCTGGACGAAAAATCCACGCGACCACAGGGAGAGAGACACTGCAAACTCCAAATATACAGGTGTCAGGTTTGGATCGAACCCACGACCTCCTGCATACCAGGCGAGGTAGTTAACATCTCGCCACCGCGGCGCCCTGCACTACGAAGCCAGCAACCAGAGTATGATGACATCAGTGGCAGTACCATTGGTACCTCATTTGCCGGTAAAAAATATGATAATTGTTTTTTACCCTTTTATCTGGCAACAAAACTGACACCTTTTTTACGAGGAGTCATGTTTGCATAGACCACAATACCTGTAGTCATAATGCAAACAAAAAACATAACTCTGATAATGTGCACCTTTTGGCGTCATCTGGTCCAACCCATGTGAGACTAGGCTCTAAGGAAAGCTGTCTCGGGTGTGGACCAATCAACTTCAAGGACAGTGCATACATTATCATAGTTGTGTTTTTTGTTTGCATTATGACTGCAGGTATTGTGGTCTATGCAAACATGACTCCTCGTAAAAAAGGTGTCAGTTTTGTTGCCAGATAAAAGGGTAAAAAAACAATTATCATCAGTGGCAGCATTTAATTATTTCACAAATTTCCCTTTATGTTCAATGAATGAATATTGCGCAGGTAGAAATGCTCGTGTAATATGTCATTATATGCAGGAATGTTGATGCGCTGTTTCCTCTCCCTCCCACCTGCCCCCCCCCCGTCTGCGTGAGAATGAACGTTGTCAATGACCAGAATTTTGTCTGCTTCTTGCTGCAGCCCCCAGCTGAGGATGTCCTTCATTGTTTTCTCCACCCATGGGACTGTGGTCATGCCCCTAACAGGAAACAGGTGGGACACCAACCGTGACACGCACACACGCCAGTGGCAGCAACCCAGTGGGACCAGTACTCTCATTCCTGGCGTGACTGCCTAGCTATTAATGATATTATTATAAGTCGCATAATAGTTTTTTTATGTCGTTGAATTACTGTTGGGATATTTCATCATCGCTGTCATCATCATCAGCCATAGTATATACACTGCTGGATTAAGGCATCCATCGGCCATCTCTCAGGCTCGCATTGCAACAAACCATCCAGCTGCTAGACATTGTTATTGAATTACTAAAGGGTTCTTTCAGCATCATCATGATCAGCTATTATCTCTGCACTGCTGGATGAAGGCATCCACAAGCCCATCGCTGTCCTTCATGGTCTCGCGGTGCAACGATTCTTGTAGCCGCTGCACCTGAAGCTGATTTAATCGCTCCAACGCTACGGCTGACATCTTCTAAACCGCATTCACTGCACAAACCATGACAGACGTGGATACCCGATGCACACATGGAAAATTAAAAACTCTCCAGTGTGCGACTGGTCGTTCAGAACAAAGCATGCAACGTATAACAACACAATTGCCCGATCAACAAATACGAAGGTAGACATCACAGCGATACACTCCACTGGTCCCGACGCGGTTATCTGGCTTGGCCACCTGAATGTGAAATTGTAGTCGTTGCTCTGAGTCTGCATCGGCCGTGCGAAGGAAAAAGAAGTCTCGTTGTAACCTTTGGTTGCTACTCGGTTGTCATTCCTCGACACGACGTGTCCAGCCCCCACGTGATCCGAGTGGGTATCGGGGTGCTCTGCGGTCTCGTATGCGGATGTGGGTAGTGACATCGTCGGTCATCCGGTGTTTGGAGATGAGAGATTGTATGATTAGAAAGTTTTCTTTTATATAGTAGCGTCGTGCATGCAAATTGCATCTCTCACAATCGCTGAGGTCGCCACAGGCAAGCGGTGAGGCAGCAGCCAGGCGGCGAGCCACCGGAAAGAATTGCCCGAGCTTTGTAGTCCTCTATATATGAAGATATTTTTCGGCCAATTTAACGGGTGTTTTATACACGTGGGAATAAACTAAAGAACTCGGAGAAACCCCACGCTTCGCAGAGTCCTACCCTCGATCCCACACAGAAAGGCCTGATGATATTATTCCGCACTTTGCCGTGTCACCTTCTCCTCGACACGTACGCAAAGGGAGTTTCGCGACGTTTGCGTGCGATGCAGCAACCCTCGTTGCCTCCACGGTGCTGGATCGCGGGCCGCGGGCGTAGCCACCACCGCTCGGATTCGTGGAGGCTGTAGAGCCAAGAGGGTTTCTGTCGTCGAGTTGGGATGCGTCGAAGGGTTCACGTGAAGGTTCCAGTGGCAGCTGAGGTCAGGAAATGTTGCACGGATGGAGGTTGCGAGCTCCTGCAGAGGGGAGGTTTCTGGGGATGGAAACACGAGCTCGGCCAGCCTGAGGTTCTGCTCGCTTCCTGCTCATGCGATGTCCGAGTTTTCGAAAGTGCACGCGCAAACCGCGATGTTTACTGCGGGGTGGATTTTTGTGCCGTTGTGGCCCCCCCCGATGTGAGAAGTTGCTTCCGTTTTGGCAACTATTATCTGAAGGAAGTTAGAACAAAACCAAGATGAGACGAGCGTCCATAAAGGCAGGATGCGAGTGGACTCTGAGGTTGGGTCATGGGGGAGTCGAACCGAAAAAAAACTAACACTGACTTCATTATGAACACTGCCTTGCAGAGAGGAAATTATGTAAGAGGGCTAACGTTTCGAGCAGTGGTCCTTCTTCAGCATTCTTCTCCATATGGCAGCCGATGTTGATGCAGACCAACGGCTATAATTTTACGTTGAAGATGGTTGATGCCAAATAATTGCAAGAGTAGCAGATTGGTGCATCGCTGCTGTGATGCACTCCTTCATGTTTGTGAATGGGGGCATTGAGTCGTTCTGTACGTTCCATGGTCTGTTCTGGGTGACCATAGTCGCACATCAGAGAATTTTTTTATTTCCCGTTTGTGCATCGTGTATCTGCATCTGCTGCTGCCATGGTTTGTATGTACGTATGTTGAGCTTCTTTTGCACTGCACATAGTCAACAATTCTAATCAAAGGTGTGGGGAAGGACAAAAAACTAAACACACAAAGCAGTTCTATTGAAATTAGTTTTCAGTCTAGATGATTAAAAAGGGCATTGTTCCAGTGGTTTCCTAATATCGGAAGGAAGAGCGTTCCAGGCGGCTGCAAAAGCGCATCTGAAAGCGACCATCTTTGTTCGATGGCCAGCCAAATTGCAGTGGATGTGGTTCTCAGGCATTGTGGAAGATCAACATCGGGGATCTTCTGCTTTGTTGGGTCTTTCACGAGGTGTTTGTTCCTTTTTGATATCTTGTGAACTCCCATTTGGCTTACCAAGTATCATCGTCCTCATCATCACCAGGGTTCAAATATGCATTGTTGAAGGTTTGCGCACGTGGGCTCCAAAAGGGCTTCCAGTCCGACTTCTTCAAGCGACGGTGAGGGACGCTGTTGAGACCCTCCTGGCGGATAGCGCGAGTGAGCTAGAGGAGTAACGATGCTGCCACATGGCACGGCAATCGGGCTGACCGTCACGGCCCAGGGTCTAGGGTCAAGTGTTTTTTTTTTACAGTGTGGTCAATGTGGTGGCCACTTTTGGTGATGTGTGTTTTTTACATGAACCCTTTTAAGTACGACGTATAGGGTTGGAATAATGGTTGAATCTCGCACAAATGATTGATTACACGTATTATGATCTAGAGCATCATCTTTATGCCCCCCCCCCCATTCCATGTAATGTTGAAGATGGTGAATTCATTGTTGTGTGGCAAATTGCCACCACCAATGCCATCCCCTTAATTTCAATAGAACCTTAAAATGTGATTACTCTGTTTTATCCACACACAAACAAAGTGAATTGTTAAAGCAAATATAACTCGACGTGACTGTAGCCTCTGTATTGAAATTTTGCAATATTTTAGTTGGTGCTTAAAAGTATGAAAAAAAATATTACATTTTTAATATAATGAAAATGTTGAGAGTTTGATTCTGTATTATTATGAAAACGGGAGTAATATGTAGTGTCACTTTTGTAAGAAAACCTCCCTGATTCTCAACATTTCTCCTTTCCTGAGCCGGCGGTGGAAATTCCACATTCCGTCGACAAGGGGACCTTGTTCTGTTTGTAGACCATCTGCTGCTCACTCTACAAATTGTTACCCATTTTTATCAAACCGATGAATAAAGTAAACACGGCGGTGTATTCCGTTGTTTCTGGTGGTAGCCTTCGTGTAGAGTAGGACCCCTCCTTAACGAGCACCCCTGTTAACGACGAATCGCTTAACAACGGGCCTCCATAGAGCCCAATGTGTAGTGTAGTGTGTAGTGTATAGTAGTGTATAGTGTAGTGTAGTGCCTCCATAGAGTCCAATGTGTTCGCTTACCGACCATTCCCCTGTTGACGACGGGCTTTTGTAGGTACAGTAAATATGAATGAATGCATTGATTAGTCTTATGTAACTATTGTATTTTTATGTATTACTTTCCATTGTTTAAATATCATAAAGTACTTTTTTGGGTGAAAATGGGTAACTTTTGATGTTATCGAAACGAATTAAGGCTTTAACGTGTATTCCCTATACTCGCATCACTACCAAATCACTTAACGACCGGTTTCGTGGAACCAATGACCGTCGTTAAGAGGGTTTCTACTGTCAGTGTGGGTCACATAAAACTGTTATTGAGCCTTTGCTCGGCAGCATTTCTGACATCGTCCGTGTGTTCTCTTGGCATTCCAGGGAGCAAATACAGCTGGGCTTGGAGGAGCTGAACCAGGTGCAGATCGGAGGAGACACCTGCATGCATGAGGGGTTTGCTCGCGTGAGTTTCCCTCCGACATCTATGACTTTTTGGATATATTTTTTTCGCTGGCCGTCCCCCAACTGTGATATCACGATGCGTCACGAGGCAACGGAAACATTCTTGTGGAAATCCATCGGTAAGCAGAGCTTCGCGGTTCAGTCTGGGACTGGGCCCCAGACCGGGCTCGAGATGGCACGCCACTGTCAAGCGTGATACTCCGCGTACCAGTCATCCAGTATTATTTCATAAAACTGGTTTATTCTGATGAAAAGTACACGGCAATGTTTCCCCTTTTTTTTTTCAAACATTGGAGTGTTACCGTGGTTACGGGATATCCCCGCTATGTTGTGTTGAATGTCCTGTGGACTGCGAGGAAACATCTTTCATTTGCGTCTATTGAAATTAATCGGACGGTTCGGTTTAATTGCCAAGGGGCGGTGACACGAGGGAGCTGTCGCTCGTTTTGCCGCTCATTGCAAAGGTTCGCGGTTCAAAAATAAACACATTCCTGCGGAGGGAGCTGGTAGGAACGTTGGGTTGCTCAGTCAATAGCCAGGGTCAACGGCTGCGTGGTATATTCCGCAAATATGCCCGACTGTGAGGGCGGGCACAAGCCGGCGTGAGTAGGTTAAATGTTGAGTTTTATAAGGGCACCACTGGGTGACCAGCCCCGCCCCTCCCACCCAGCCCCTCACCACCCTCCCCACCCAGCCCCTCACCACCCTCCCCACCCAGCCCCTCCCCACCCTCCCCTCCCCACCCAGCCCCTCCCCACCCTCCCCTCCCCACCCAGCCCCTCCCTGCACGACGGACACAGTAATCCCCTGTGGGCTGGTGTAACCAGGAGGTTCCTACCAGTATAAAACCCCTGAAAATGACACTGTTGTGAAACCTATCAGGACCCGCCTTAACAAAAAAAAGTCTTGAGACTCGGCGAGGCTTTCCTGAGGAAAATGAATGTGAGCAGAATTAAATGGTATTATTTCGGCACGCAAAGGTGCCTATGTAGATTTGTAGTTCAGTTTTGCCAACGGTGTTTGTTGACGTTTAACACGTAGGCTTTCGCGACCAATATTATTCATAATAAACGTTTTTGGGTTAGATCGCGTTATTTATAAATGTGTCGTAACCCTCCACCACCCGACACGGCCAATCAGCAAAAAAGTGTCACGTTGACAAAAGACAAATAGTTCACTACTTTAGCCCACCAGTGTGTTGAAGAGTGAATCCACAACTTTTACAGTTTTTGAGTACCACGTTTCGCTGGTAATTACATCCAGCATCATCGGGCAATTCGCCAGAATGGAGAAGCCCTCACTTGCTCCCGGTCTTAAATAGAGCAGCAGCCAAGGTGACCTCATCATTTTACTCATGCAGGTGCGACGATTTCAGGCGGGGTGGGGGGGTATTGTAATTATATAATAGATTGGTAATCAGTCAATTGTTATGATTTAGTAATGAGTTGTAATGTGTGTTATTGTAAATATAAACTACGTTAGTAATCAGTTAATTAGTATGTGTTTCCCCTATAAGGAATTGTAATTTTGTTGACGTGTTCGTTCAGCTGACACTTATCTGTCATCTTCCACCCAGGCGAGCGAGCAGATACAGCAAGAATTTTATTACGGTATGTGGTCTTTTTTTTTACTGCCTTTTTATAAGCATTAATTTGCAATGGATTACTCTGTTGCAAATCGTTTCAGCTACAGAGGGCCCACAGCTTGTTGGCGTAAAGTGTTTGTTTTCCCTTTCCACTGGTGGGAAAATGCAAATAAAATTTTTTGTTAAAATCTGCGGTGATTTGGTCATCACTTTTCCAGGGCACTGGCAGAAACTTGTTGCGTGCAGTGACACGTAAAGTAAGATTATTTATTTGTTATTTACACAACATTAAACTGGGCAACTCTTTACGTAATTCATGAAACATTACGCCTAGCCAATCCTTTTGTCTGATGAAAGCCAGCGCTGTCCTATTTTTTTCATTCAAACGTAGGCTCAAAGGTTGCCGCACTTTGCTCCCATATTGATATCCGTGTTAAATTCCATTCCTCTACCTGGCACATTTTAATTTTGCACATTTACCAGTTTAGTTCACATTTTGGGGTACGCACCTCACATGCCTGATGATTGGTAAAACACAGAAGGCCTGTGTCATGGTGGGCAACAGTGAACTGGCATTTGTGATTTGCAGGGTGTTAGAATAAAGTCAGGAGATTGTGTAAAATTTGTTTTATCGTGTTCTCGGGTTTAAAAGATGTACTCTTTTTCTCCCATAATGTAAAGCAAATTTAGGGGTGTGTGTTATAATCTGGTAGGTGTGTGCATGTTTGTTTGTTCATGTGGTCAGGTTAGTATAACTCTTTTGACAACGGGCACACGTTTGGGGTGCGTCTTGTATTCAGGAGCATCTTATAATTCTGCTAAATACCCTAATAAATATTCTACCCATATCGTTAAGAAAGGCTCCTTGCTTGTAGGATTTGGATAATCGCCAGCATAGATCGAGGCAATCCTGACTGCTGGTGATACACTGATTTTGCTTGAATTTGAATGTTAAATGTATTGCCTGCTTTGAAATAGTCAAGAAATAAAGAACCTTCTGGAATTGTGGGAATGCCAAGTAATTAGACTTAGCAACAATTGAAATGGTGAACGTTGGAATGCTTTGGGTGGTCCTCCATTATACTTTGCTAAGCCCTTACTTAATCATGGTAGAACCAAAAAAGTGATGGTGGAGTAGAAGACGTGGTGCCAGGTGGTTGGTGCAGTGCTATGAACCTGGCAAGCGGAGTTTTATTTCCAGCCACGGCTAACATCAGTGGTAAGGCACCTCCCCTTCGCTAACCAGCATGCTCTGAGCATCATGGTGAAGTATGGTTAAATAGCCCCCCCTATCACTGACAAGTTGTGGGGGAGGCCTTCATCCAGCAGTAGATGAACAAAGGGCTGTATATTATTATAATTAAATACACAATGTGAAATGTGGAATGATGCCATGAAACATATTCCTGTGGCTGTTTCTAACAACGGACTTGACGTGTGAACCGAAATGGTTCGGCTGCGTTTTTCTGTATTTTTCCGCGTATTTTGTCGCGGCACATCGTCCGACGTTTCGCTCCCCGTGCCGAGAGCTTCCGCGTTTCACTTCGGTTCCCTTGGAGAAGCTGGCTCCCCACGCGCGGAGTGGAAACGTCGGGCCTCGCTCAAAAATAACGCTCGGCACGACCTGAAAGCTCGGCGGAGAGCGCTCATTGTTTTTTTTTTCCTCCGCACTGCTTCTCATAGGCGAAAAGGCTGCCAGCATAATCATCGCGCTCACTGACGGGGAGCTCACGGAATATTTCTTCTCCTACGCAGAAAGAGCGGTACGTACGCCGTTTTGCGACCACGTCCGGTGCAGAAGAATCGCTGCTCGGCAGAATGCAAAGTGCTGGGTTTCTACGCTTGATGGTAGCGTTGGCCACGTGTACGAGCACAGGCTGAACATACTTTAGCACCGTCGTCATTTGCAAACATTGCCTTATTGCCTCGTAACCTTGAATGCACTCGGTCTGTAATGAGCTAGTGTTTTGGACAGTGGCTTTTCTTCACAAGTAGGCAATGCGAGAAGCAAGTCGGAGTATTTGAACCTACAGAGGTCACATATTGCAATGGGGGTGATTCTTTTAAAATACTGACATTTGAAAAAGGGATATTTTGTCAATTCCCAATCGTTTGCTTTCCCAGTCTCTGTTCAGCGCACTGTACAAATTATGCATCTTTCGTTTACGCGTAATGCGACGTCCGTGAATTTTGCGCAGCAGTGCAGAACTAAAGCCAGATGTTGGGTTACTGTAGAGAGCAGACAGTGGGAGTTCGGGTGTCGGCTTTACAACAGCTGTTCGGTCGAGCAGAAAGAAGGAAGCGATGGGGGGGGGGGGGAGAGGTGACATCAACAACCGCTGTCCGCGTTGACTTTTCGATCGCGATCTTGACGATGCCGTGAAGGATTTTGAGTGCATGCGTGTGTGTGCGCCGCGCGTTTGCGTTTTTTGCGTCGGGCGGACGGCGGGCAACCGTCCGGATCCCTGACCCCCCCCCCTCGCCAGAGCGCCCGCTGACCTTGACCCCGTCTTTTGCCATGCCTGTGGTCGCGGGGTTGCGCAGGCCGATCTGGCTCGGCAACAAGGAGCCATGGTCTACTGTGTGGGCGTCAAGAACTTTAACTACACGCAGGTGGGGCCCTGCCCGCGCGGCGGTTTGGTTTTCGTGGAATGCGACCGACTTTGGTGGAATGCGTAGCGGTGCACGCTGATTGTGTGCCATAGTGTCAAACAAAAAAGTCGGTGATTAATTTTTTTCCTCTTCCCCCAACTGAGCATTGGGATGCTACTCCTTGTCATCTCCCATTCACAGATCCTGAAGCCAGTGGTGTAAATTGCACATTCCGCTGGTGGATGTGAGATTATCCGTAGGACAAACCTCTGTTGACTCTCTCACAAAGTGGAAGCGATTTCATTGACCTGGAAACGATGATGGGCTGAGTCAACGCCCCCCCCCCCAACCAACCAGGATTTGAACTCGCAATGTGTTTGTAACACAATGAATGGATTGCAATTAACAAAATAGAGCCAATGTACATATTCTACGTGCAATGCATTGTGGGAAGTCCTGTGGCTATGGGGATAAAGAGAATCGCAATATCCTCATAATTCACATATCATTAGGGACCTCATTAAAAGCGATAATACCTTGAGTTGTATGTTGTCCAGCTGGGCTAAAATGACCGAAATAAAATCCTATCAGGATGCAAATTACTGTGGGGAACACCTGTCATAAAATGCTTGGAGTTTTGCAGGGTCGGGTCCCCGTGTGTGCCTGGCCTGCCAACCCTGCACCCTTGTGTCTCCATTGCTACCATTTGAAGAGTCCCCTATGGGTTCATTCTGTTATGCCACATCTACTACCACTTACTGGATTGTGACGCACTGTTTTTTCCTGTTGTTTTTAAGCTAAAGTTGGGGTGCATCTTATAATCTGCTAGCCGTGTGTGTGTGTGACCGAGAACTGTATCCCACAGTGGTGAGATTTTAACTACCTCGCCTGTTAACTGTTAACGACCTCGGTATACAGGATGTCGTGGGTTTGATCCCGACCCTTGACGCCTGTATATTTAGAGTTTGCATGTTCTCCCCGTGGCCGTGTGGATTTTTCTTCAGGTTCTCCGGGTTTTCCCTCCATTTAGAAATGTCCGTTTAGAGTATTTGGCTGATATGCATTTCCACATGATAAGCCACTTCGTTGAGATATCATTTATGGCCAGGTCACTTCTGAAAAAGAGCTATTTAATTCAGAGGGCTCTATGTTGTAAAATAAAAAAAAGTTAATTAGTTTGACCTTATTGACACCGATTACAAGTTTGGGTGCGTCTTCCATAATCCGTAGAATACCGTAGTTAACGTGCCTGCATCGGCCACTTGTAAATGTTTCACTGGCTCGCAAGGCCACGCAAAGTTTATTTACGGACTTGTTTTTCCAAAATCAACTATCTTTTAAAAGAGTGCAGTCATGTAGCTTTTGTAGTGTTCATTTTAAAAAAATACGCTTTTATGATGTCCATTAGCCATGAAATCATGCGCAGGAAGTTGCATTTGCAGCCTACACATTTGTATTGATCGGAAAGAGGCTCGGTGTAACGCTAAGCCATTTCCTAAGTGCTCATAAATAGAGCAGGGAAAGACCCTGCTTGATGTGGACTAGCCCAAGTCAAGCACTACAATCGCGTCGGTCCCGAATTGTAACGTCAGATCAAGAATTGCCTGGTTTATTTAGAGCCATAATTAACAATGTAACACAGCAAGACATTTAAACCGATTATCAATTTATTTGATCCACGCGAGACCGTGAGGGCCCTTTTGAGATACGACCTCGGTTAATGCATGAACTCACTGGCGCCTAGGAGTAAGATAATGACCAAAGCACTTGGAATGCTTCCCAGTCTCGTAAGACAACGGAAGCCAAGCTGATTCGAGCCTGGATGGTGCTTGAATAGGCGACCACTATGCACGCCAGGGTGTTATGGGCTGGCTGTGGGGTGACCCAAGGAAGGCCAGCGGAAGGGCAGTGCAGCCAAATCTGTTGCACTATGCACCCACATCGATGCCCCCCCACCTTCACCATCCCGCATGGACCAGCAGCGGTGAATTACGGTAAAATATCCTCCATGATCTTCTTGGTTCTTTTGGTAAAGTCACGTAGAAGGGAAATAATAAAATAATAAAAATAAAACATAATAAAATTAAATTCTCACGACGTTTCGGCCACAGCGCAAGCAGCCGCCCTCAGGTGAAGAACAGGTCTGTCGGAAAGACGGCGTCTGAATGAGACGCTGTCTTTCTGACAGACCTGTTCTTCACCTGAGGACGGCTGCTTGCGTTGTGGCCGAAACGTCGTGAGAATTGTATTTTATTATGTTTTGTTTTTATTATTTTATTATTTCCCTTCTACGTGACTTTACCGAAAGAACCAAGAAGATGAATCCCTGCAGTCACGAAAGCTTTCAATCGAAATTGTCTATGATGTGCACGGCGTTGAGGAGGCCCTCGTCCAGTGGCGGATCGACCAAATGACTCGAGGTGGCGCAAAGGAGGGTGAAGTATCCATTTGGTCCTGTAGCGTTCTTGCATAGTGTGGGGGACCCAGCGGTTTCTACGGTGGAGTCATTGCATCACTTTGCAGTGAAGCATTTTCTGGGTTCGTGGCGGGAAGCGGCGGCAGTGTTGTTGTTCGCGCGGGGAGCCAGCGCTGTGGAGCCAGCGCTGTGGAATGCTTCACCCCGCGCGTAATTAGGTCATCGCCATAGTTGGACGGTTTTTTTTTGGGTGGGGGGGAGGAAAACGCGGTAAGAGCTCGCTTGTTGAAATGAAGCACAGTGGTGCACGGTGAGGAATGGTATCCCGGTAAACATGCCCCAACGTTTTGGGCCCAACGTGTTTGGCTTGTTGTTGGAACCATTGGACCATCGTGGTTCCAACATTCCTTGTTTTACTGAGACGAGACGGAAGTAAGTTTTTCCGTCGACTTAAAAATCACTCGTCGCTTAACGCCGGCTTGTATGGCTGCATTTGATTTTGATATTAAATTTGTACTGAAAACCACGTGTAAATTTATTTTAATGAATGATAATGCATTGTATTCTGCGACGGCAAATGTATCTGTTTTATTTTATGTGTAAGGACTGAAAATAAGCCAGGTGGTGCGCGGTTATGTGATTGAAAGGTTCAGATTTCAAATTCCCGGTCTGGAGTTGACTCGACATCACATTTCATCATAGTAATTCGTGCCACGGAAACACTCTTCACCACCATAGGAATGTGGAATTTCCACTGCAGGCTCAGTGCTACCCCTCTAGTTTAAGGAACGCAACAGGAGGGTTTCTCCACAGATCTGGCTGTCGCCTGATGCTGATGAAGCTAGTTGTAATTACTCGCGAAGCGTCATACTCAGGTTGTAAATGTTGTGGTTTTGCTCCAACATACCGGTGTGATGTATTAGTAACGAACTGGCATGTGCTGCTTACGTAACAATCCTTACTAATTGGCTGTCGGATGCTGGCGGGTTTAACGACACATTTATATGTGTCGTTATATATTTACGCGATCTAACCCAAAAAAGCTGTTTTATGAATCAGTGCTGTAAATTGGCATAAAAAAGCCAATTGAGATGAAAACCACACTCTGGACGTGTTCGACTTTTGAAATCCCGAGTCTCGCCACCATGTGTTTGTTTGCAGTTGGCCCGTATTGCAGACACCAAGGAGCACGTCTTCCCAGTGCAGGGAGGCTTCCAAGCTTTGCGAGGAATCATCGACTCGGTGAGTTGAAACGTTTATCTTTTTTTTTCGTCTCGTGTTCTCAAAATCAAATCGTGCCACGAAACCCCCTTCATCGGACATTGCCCACGACACAGGTATACGGATCCCCATCCTTCCCGTGACCTCGTGCTGCAGCCGTGTTTGACTTGCGGATTATTTTTACACTTTCTCTCGCCGCTCTGTTAATCTCAGTTAATCGTTCCTCGCTTACGAAATTAGCCACACGGACACGGCTAAGGCTCCCGCTTCAGAGCCCAAGCCAAGGCTTTTTTTGCTGTGCGTGTTAGCGTGTAAAATGTGCCGCGATCGACTTGGCTGCCAAGGCGTTGTTTTTTTATTGCCGGCGAGTCTCTTTTTTCCACCTGACTTTTGGATTGCATCCCTGGCTTGTCGTTGTCCTGTTGTGTCAGTCTGCCCTCGGCGCAATTATACAGCGGTCAATGTGTTTGCGCCGTCGGTGCGGGTTACCGGTGACCCGCTGCGTGAATGTGTAACAAGCCACGAAGTTGCTTGAAATGCCGCCTCGCCATAGCTTCTGAATCGCCCCACGCACATCGAGCTGGATCGACGGCGTGTCTACTGTGCCGACCTATCAATACGTTTGAGCCTCCCGATTAGGATCTTCCCACGCTTAGAGATGCGTGCGTGCGGATTGTCGCTCAAGAGCAGCCGCGGCGCCGTCGAGGTTGTGCGACCAGTTTTGATGGTTTGCGCGATGCGTTTTATGTCTTCGTCAATCTCTGCATTTGCCGATGCGTGCATGTACCAGCCCAGCTTGCATAACAGCTGTGCTTTCACCGTGTGTTTTAACGTGACTGTAAACTGGATACAATTGATGAGTCGAAGGTTTTATTTTATTAGGATATATTTTTGGGATTTTTTCATAATTGGACCAGTTCAATCCGCTTTCAGATAAAGGCCTCCCCAATTAACCTCAAAATGTTGATTTAATTATTAGGCTGTGGCGACTTAAATTTTTTTTAAGACTCATTGCCACCAACTTGCGCGGAGTAAAAAGTGTAGCTATAATGTCAATTGTTTAGCTGTAATCCTCCAGCACCCAACCGAGCTAATCAAATCAAGTTTGTAATCTCCAACGAAATATTACTTTAAAAAATATTGTCAACCAAAACAGTTGGCACGTTTGGCCACTCGACAATCTAATTCGATCAGCTCTGTCAGATAGTGGAGGGTTTCGGTAAACATTTTACATAACACCTACATGATGATCCCACCAAAATTAAACTAAATTCATGATCCAAACATTGGTTGTGAAAGTCCAAGGAATAATATGTGTAAATAGTATTGTGGTTCGAATCCATCGGGAATACGGTTAAGATGAAAAGATCAATACTCATGCGCACACGTGCTCGTTACCATGCTATCTGTGCGAGCAGCAATGGCTGCTTTATAGTGTTGATAACGTTCCTTCTTTGTTTTAGATTCTGAAGAAGTCGTGCACCGAGATCTTGTCAGCAGAACCTTCGAGCGTCTGTGCTGGAGGTAAGAAAGCTAATGCTCACGTTAAGTTGTGCGTTTTTATTTTCACGGAAAGCTTCAACGGGAGTCCGAAGTGTCTTCCAAAAGGAGAGTCCTGCTTGTGCCGTTTGGCGAACTTTCATTCGCAGAGCGTTTTTTGCGTCTTCTTGGTTCTTTCGGTAAAGTCACGTAGAAGGGAAATAATAAAATAAGAAAAAGCAAATATAATTTTATTATTTCCCTTCTACGTGACTTAAAATTTTTGTTATTTTTATTATTTCCCTTCTATGTGACTTTACCGAAAGAACCAAGAAGATGAATCCCTGCAGTCACGAAAGCTTTAAATTGTTTTTTGCGTGTTAGAGACAATTGGAGCGCCCGTAAGAGAATACCCCCATTGAATCTCCGCCATGGGCTATCCGCAACCTGTTTTGAGCTGGACTACATTCTACAAGAACCACCTTATCCCCTTGCTGGTAGCTGCCACACATTATTCTTATCGTATATCAGGGATTAATTAAAATTTCGCTGCACAATCTGGGACCTTCTTTCAAAACCGACTTGGAAACACGTTAAGTTCTGAATGTACAGAGTTGTCGGCCGCTGCTACCTGACGATGAAGGCCCCCCAAACCAATCGGATATCCACACAGCGCAACCGCGAACACCTGCGCTGTCATCTCCATCCCAGCGTCGCCGCCGCCGTCAGCTCCGCGCGTCCCCAGCCGACTCTCCTTTTGCGTGGCGACACAATTCGGTTGCGGTCAGTCCGCGGAGTGCACGCACGGACGAGCACTCCGCGGGCTTGCCTGCTAACGTGTTGGAGCTCGTCAAAGTAACTTTTTTTTCTTTGCGACCCTTTCCCCTCGTAACGGCGTGCCGTGAGAGAGTTTGGCGTTTAGCTCGGCGGATAAACGCCGCCCCCCCCCCCGTTCCCTGAGCGCGTGCCCACCTCAATTATGTAACCGCCCTGCGCACGCTGGCGAGTAGGTGACCGAGGGGGCACCAGCCAGGTTTGTTGCTTTGCAGACGGAGTCGTGACGAGTTTTGTCACTCGCGACAAGGAGTATGATGAGAAGGTCGTGTACACTTTGTGTGTGCGTGCGTGTGAGTTTTTAATTCCTTTTTGAGGGGCTTAGGAAAAAAACACCAAGGGGAGATCTGTGCAATGTTGATGTGTGTCAGTTTTTTTGTGTGGCCGTGCTTAAGTTTAATACAAGGTCCGTGTGAAAACTGCTGAACAAACATTAATAATCTTGATACATTGTGCAGGGCTGTGCCTATTTAAATATACATGTAATTTAATCTCACTGCAATCTGCTGTATTACCAGTACTATGTTGCAGTACTGGTGACGCATTGTTTAGGACTGTAATGTTTTATATTCACGTAGTGACTGTGAATGTCGCTGTGTAGGTGCTGGGCTTGCGAGGCCACAGCGGATAATGTTGTCATTATGTGCAGCCCGGTTACTGGGCCTAGTACCAGCCCTAGCGGGGCTTGGGTGAGCGCTGGTCAGCGCAGAGGCACCACGTACAGTGTGCGGTGCGGGCTCCCGGTGAGGGAGCGAGAGGGAGCGTCAGTCAGCCAGGGTTACGTTGGGGCAAGATACGCCGGTTGACCTGCTGACACGTGACCGGATGATATTGTAGGGGTGCCACCGGTGGACGGGGGCCGCTGGGTGGTCACGTGGTAGTAGAAGAGCTCACGGGAGCCTTCGGGAAAGGGCCAGAGAGATCGAGAAGGTGGGCGGGGTGAGAGGCGGAGCCAGCCCCAGCCCGGGCCAATATAACGGGGTTCTTGACTGTTTGTGAGTGAAGATCCACATCGGGTTGAAGAAGCCTCTAGCCACGTGGTCCGGGACCCAGCTCGTGGTCCGGATCGGGATAGCGGGACCATGTCTAGTTCTGCCGTAGCGTGGTTAGATGGGCGTTCAACACCCGGGTGTAGGTTACGTTATGTTGTGTTGAGTTGATGTAATAAATAGTGTTGCTCCCAAGACAACGTCTGCAACTCAGTTGGACTCACTACATTCATATACATGAAATTAATCTACACCCGGGTGCCGCTCAATGTGGTAAAGTGAAGTTTAAGTATTCTGACATTGCACTCTCTCTCAGTTTGTTCATTTGGTTGTAAAAGTCAACAGCTGAGAATCTCGTTCTATTCTGTTCATAGTTACAGGTGGCTCAGGGTCCCCTCTTATTTTCAGAGTCTATTGTTTACACTTTGGCTCTGGTTTGAGTGGTTCCCTTCTACTCACCTACCCTCTCATTTACTCACCTACCCACTATTCACCTACCCACTACTCATCTACTCGCTTACTCACCTATCCACTTATTCACCTACTCACTTACCTACCCACTGATTTACCTACTCACTCAATAATTTACCTACTCACCTGCTCCCTCACCTGCTCACCTACTCACTGATTCACCTACTCACCATGAGTCTATAATCACTCACCTACTCACTCGGGATCCCCTCCTCTCCTTCTCTGCGTCAATGTCCCCATACTCTGACTAAACCTATTGACCGTAATGCATTTTTCAACTCCGTCAAGCAACTAAAAATTATGTATGGATTGTCTTTAAACTCAGTTGGCTTTACTTTAACAGGCGATTTGAATAAAACCAGGAACGTGATAATGACAAACCTTCATTTTGAGTAGTGCCATAATCTACACTTTGAACTGAAAAAAATGCATTATACATTTATAGTGCTTTCATTTTGTATTATAATTGACGGGAACATTTATGATGTGAGGAGCTGTACCTGATTTGCACAGTGCTTATTTTCTTGTTGGACTGAGTTGCTGGAAAAATACGAACGAATGAATATCAAACACCATTGTGCCTGGCCTCTGTGGGCTACGAAAAGGCATTTGACTCGGTGGAAATTGATGCAGTGGACTCAGGAATCTTACAAATGAAGGCCAACGTGTTTTTAAATAAGTTATGAGAACCGTTTAGGAAATGGATGTACAGTGTTTTAATGTGAGTGTGGTTTCTTTTGTCATCATTGCAACTCATGATGATAATCATGACGCCACTGTTATTTGTTGATTTTTCTAATTTCAAGTTTTAAAGCCATGTACCTCAGGGTTATGATTTGATGCACAAAACGATTCCTTTATAATTTTATATCGTGGTGATTATAGCAGCCCACTAGTGGTTGCAAGGGTCACATGTGGATCCGTTACATACGAAATGGGACCTTTTTGCCAGTATCAAAGTATGAAAAAATAAGAATAGGTTTTACCCTTTCTGCCAATATAACAGGTGTTCAGATGTTCAAACACCAACAGATAATCTTTTGCAAGAAATGAAGTCTGCATTAACCACGCGTGTAGCCCAACCGGTTTCAAAGACGATGCATATATTATGAGAGCATGTTTGTTTGCATGTTCACCACAAGTACGTGTGTTTAGTGCAGACATGATTCTTTGCAAAAGGTTTATATTTGGTGTTTGAACATCTTAACACTTGTTTTATTGCTTGAAAGGGGTAAAACCTGTTTTTATTCTTTCATACTTTCATTTTGATACTGGCAAATTTCCATTTTGTAGCTGCTCACCCCGAGCTTTTTGGCGTTCTCTGGTCTGATACTGGTGAGATTCGGCTGCAAAGAAGGCCAATCAGTTTCAAAGACAATGCATACATGATCAGAGCATATTTGTTTGCATGTTCACCACAAGTACGTGTGGTTAATACAGACTTGATTCTTTGCAACAGATTTCTATTTGGTGTTTGAACAACCTTAACACCGTTCCATACGACCTACAGAATATGTCATAAGACACACGTTGATTCTCGCACGTGTAATTCTACGCCTGAATCGGGAGCTCAAGAAACGTATTAATCGGTGAATCGATACGGTGACATTCCCGTTGTGAGGTTTGCCAAAAATCCGTTCGCCGATTGTTTTTGCGATGGAAGAAATTTCTCAGATTTGTAAAAAAAAAACAACCGCCAACTTCGTCCGGTATCAGAGGTCAACAACACTCCGCTTTTCCTTCAGTCAGCCTTTTGAGCTGCTTGGCCGAGCGTCATATTACCGTAATATTTTCCCCAGGGATTGTCGGCAGGAAAATTTAAAACTATTCGGGCTATCGCCTGATGAAGCTGGTTGTAATCACCAGCGAAATGTCGTATTCGAATTGTAAATGTTGTGGTTTTACTCTCCAATACATCGGTGTTGCTGACTGTTATTAACTCAATCTCACTGGCTTCTCTTTCTCTCTGGACAAGGACCATTGCCACAAAATGTCAACCTATTTTATATTCTATTCTATATTTTTTTTACTTTTCATGGCAGTGTTTCTGACGAATGAGTTAAGCTTGAATTTATCAGTGGGTTGGGCATTTGTAAGCTGTGTGCGGCATGCCACGTGTTTGATACCTGATGTAAATATTTTTTGCCGATTTTTGTTATTATTTCTCATTGACTAAGCCCAGCAAATATAGCCCCAGGTACCTATGTAGAAGATGAGTAGCTCTTTCGTCTTTGGGCTCTGTGTACCTTTTCATCCATTGCCAAGCAAATTGTCTACTCGAATCTTGGACTCTAGGTAAACACTGAGAGAGCGCTTCAAAACATCAATACTGCTATAAAAGACCATCTATGCCTTGAGTTTCCTGGCTGGCTACTAGCTGGGCTCCTCTCCACCCTGACAATAACTCTATTGTTAGTCGCGGTGAGTCATTGTCACCGAAACTAGCTGGGTAACTGGCTAAACAGGGAGGCGCATAAGGTGGTAGTAATAAAATACATTCAATTTGAAACGTTAAAAAAGTTTTCAATTTGTGCTCCAATTGATGTAATTCTTTCAATCCTAGAGTATATATACAGTACAACTAAACCCTCAGAATACACGTTATCTTGGCATTTTATTACGTTAAAAAGCAAATTACTTTGAGTGCCTAAGAGTACAGGATTGAGAGTGGTGTTAAAACGGCAGCTGTCTCTTATTTTCCGTTGCAGCGTAATGGATTTCTCCACTCGTAGACTTGACAACACGCAAATG